TGTCTCAAAAAAAAAAAAAAAGAAAAGAAAATTACTCTAGTTTTATTTTTTCAGATCTTTCAGTATAAAATTATGTAAAAACATAATTTAAAAAAATCCTTAAAAGGACTACATAACCTACTAGGGAGTCTTTCTCCAAAAGTGTTGCTATTACAGATATATTTAAAATATATGTTACTTTGTTGTTACATAACATCAAGTTTTTTAACTTTGTTTTTTTTTTCCAGGAAACTCTTGAGGAAAAGTTCTCAGATACCCATCCCGTGGCTTTGAGTTTCATGAAGGTACTTAAGAATCAGTTACAACTATTATTGACTACAAATTGTAATGACTTAAGCTGGTAATTCTGGGAGGGGTGGACAGTGGAGCAAATAATGCCAAAGCAGGATGTAGTCATTAAAAATGATAAGGAACTGTAAAATACTTACAGTTAAAGGGACATCGGTGGTTTAAGCAGTAATAATTCTAACATATCCATTAACATCAGCAGTAGATGAGGCAAAGTCAGAGCCATGCAGACATCCGACCTAGCCCCTGCATTAGGCCCAAGAGAGATGGTGAAACAAAGGACAAATTCTAATAACAAGCAGAAGAAACTTGTCTATGAGCAGTCTGTCATTCATGCTTGACCACCTGAGGCCAAACTAGAAGGTGTGACCCTGCCGTCCATTGTGGATCCTGAAAGCCCTTTAGGGGATGAGTACGAGGATGCCAGAGACAGTATCTTTAACAATCAATTAAGTTCTGTCTATAGCAGTGGGTTCTAAACATGACTACTCATCAGAATGACCTGAGAGCTTTTTAAAAATGCAGATTTCAGTATCTAGCCTTGGATTCACAAAAGCAGAATCTCCATGAGTGGGACCTTGGTATTTGTATCTTTAAACATGTCCTTAGGTGATTATGATAACCAGGTCAGTTTGAGACTCGTCTGATCTAGACAGTGGGGCCATTTGGATGACCTAGAGTCAACTCTATAGATCGGCCTTTGTGCTAGTGCTGGTCACTGCCGTGGTGCTATCCAGAGTGCTGGATTGCCTCTCTGGATGCTCAGGGACTTCAGTCTGAGTCCTCCTGAGACTCAGAGTCTGATACCTGTGTGCTCTCAGACTCCCCATACCCCTGCTCCACCTGACCTCAGCTGCCATCTACCCTGACTCAAGGTGTAGGCCTTGATGTGCCTACACCCAGTCCTCTGCAGGTCCTGTCCTAGAAGCCCAGTTCCGTGGCCTTGTTCTTGACGGGTTGTTCTGACCCACCTGCAACTTAGCAAAACCTCCAAGGCAGAGGAGAGGTGTCAAGCACTGCAGACCAGCCTATTCTCAGGTGGAGGCTAGAAACCACCTGTGGTTACTCCTCCAACTAACCTGAAAACTCCTTGAAAGGCAACTCTAGGGCACAAAAACTCCAAAGTATAGGATGAGTTCCCTGTCCTCACCTCCAAAGGTAAAGGACACTGTTGGCTGCCTAAGATTCTAGATGAAGCTAGGTTTGTTATTCAGATATTTGATTTAGACCCTTAAGTATCAACCTGAGACCCTAACCCCTCTGCTGTCATGGCCCTCCCCACTCTTGGAGGCAGAGCCTAGATGCTTCCAATGGCCTTGAGTACAAAGAGTCATAATGCCTCCTTTTCCTTTTTGCTCGTTAATATTCTTATATGAATAATTATTCCATTTCCCTTTGTTTTGGCTTCTTTCTCGGTACTGAGGTTCACACTTCCTCAGCCATCTCCTCAAACCAGTGGTTCTCAAACTTGAGCACATGGGTATTAGAACCACCCAGGGGGCTTGTTAAACACAAATTGCTGGGCCCCATCCCAGTGCTTTGCATCCAATTCTGTGGGTGTGGAGTAGGATCCAATAATGTGCATTTCTAACAAGTTCCCAGAGATGCTGATGTTGCTCCCCCAGAGAGTACACTCGGAAGACTCCTGCAAATGATTTGCAGTCACTAGTGGTGGAAAGATGTCTTTGGTGGGAAAAGAAGAGTGATTCTAACTATGAACAAACTTGAAGTGCTTGATAATACACAAACTTGATAATTTTCTAAACTCATATTTACTCTATTAAGCTATTATTCAGTTTTGGGGCACAGGAATAAAATAAATCCCTCTCTTAATATCTTCTTTGCTTTTCTCTTCTTCCAAAGGGGTGTCTGAAGATGAATCCAGATGACAGATTAACCTGTGCCCAACTCCTGGAGAGCTCCTACTTCGATTCTTTTCGAGAGGACCAAATTAAAAGAAAAGCACGTAATGAGGGAAGAAACAGAAGACGTCAGCAGGTACCTCCGCTCAAAAGTTAAAGTGTTATAAAAGTAATTCTTTTTTTGTTTTTGTTTTAGTTTTTCTACCTTTCAAAGTGAGACTAGATGGACACCAAGACTTTTACTTAGTGCTGGTTTAGACGTATTTGTTCATCTTAATATTGGTGATCGATGTAATAAAACCATAGAATTATGAAAATATCCAGATTGTTGCAAAATCTTATTCCAAATACACTTGAATTAAATTGTTACACAACCTTTTTTGCTACTCTGATTGGATATACCACCCACAAGATCATACACCCAAATACAACAGTCTCATAGAGTCAAACCCCGATTACAACAGGACTGAGTTTTGCCAGCGTTACACAGGAATTCCAGTACCTTTCTGTAGCCTCCAGATGTACAAAAAAGGAAACTTGATTCCTCCATCTTTTCACCCACAGCAGTCACCTAAGTCTGCCTTTCCCAGACTTTTTCTTGAAACCAAGAACAAGTTCTGCCAGATACAAATAAATGAAACCCAGACACCTGGGAACCAAATTCCATCCTAGGGGACAATATCACAGAACCATATGGTGACTATTATGACAAACATTAATTCTGCAGTTTATTAGGTGACTGTTCTTTACTTGCTCTCGGAAAACTTTGAAGTTAAAACGTAAACTCCATGGAAGTAAGTTTGTTTTGGTTTGGGTTTTTTTTTTTCTTTTCTTGTAAACCCAGCACCTAAAACAACATCTGACACATAGAAGGTACATAATAAATATTATTCAAATAAATAAACAGATGAACATTGCTTATTAATAAACCAAGTTGGTAATTTTCAATTTATTAATAGCTGACAATTGTCACATTTTGCATTTACTTAATCTCTCTACCTCCAGTCTGATTTGTAGTCATTTATCTTCTCATTAGCATGTCTTCCATGAAGGAAGAAAATGGTCTTTCTTTTCTGACCGTTTAATAGTTAAAACAGAAGTTTGTTGGGGAAGATTAAACTAATCAATTAGATGAAATGTTAAATTATTTCTGTGTATCCAAAATCTCTGGGCATCCACATTTTTATTACGTAGGCCATTTTGCTCTTTACTGTTAAGTGTTTGCGAATCAAGCCCAGTGCAGCTTACACTTAATGAAAAGATTAGAGTTTGTTCGAGTAAGTCTAAGGCAGCAGTCAGAAAGACCGTGTGGATTGTGTGTTAAAGGACACTGTCCCCTTAAAAACACCTCACCAGATTCCCCACCATCAGCCTGGGAGGGCAAACGGTAGGTCCCCCGGCTCACTCTTTTGGGGGATCTGTCACCATGTTCACCTGGAGGGGCTTGGGCGCTGCTTTCCCTTCACGGCCAGTTCTCAGCTTGGGTTGACAGCTGCGCTGCCCTTTCTTTTCGGTGACGGTAGCCCAACTGATACAGAGCAGGGACTCACACTAGGCCTTCCAAAAGCAAAAGGAAAAGAAACACGAAGGGCGGCATGCACCTAGAGAATCTCATTTACAAAGATTAGGTCATATTCTCCGGGTCCTCAGTAAACTGCATGGCGTCACCTCCATGTGGTGGACTCCACTGGCACCCACCAGGAGGCCATGCGGAACAACTCCCTCCTTCAGCGGAGGGGCCAGAGAGCAAGGCCACGAGGAGGGAAGGGCTGCCTTTCAGGTTCTGGTTTTCTTTCAAAGACACACCTCTTTCCTAGACATTTTACCGTATCAGACAATAAACTAAAAATCACAGACTTATCTTTTCATTCATTGTGGTTTCACTTTGTGAGTTCAAATTTCTACCTAGATCTCAGTTTCTAGATCTCTGAGCGGGATGACCAACAATTTTCTTAAGACTAACTAGTGTTTAAAGTTGTTAGTAAGGAGGTTTTAAGCCTTACCTGTTCTGCCAATATCCTAACTATTAAAAATTTGAGATGGGTACAGTGTAGACTCCTGGAATTATTATTTAATAGTTAGTGGGCATCTATCTTTTAAACACTGATTAGATACTCAGAAGTAAGTAAGAAGAAATAAATAATTTTAACATTATTTAAATAAGTAATTTAAATAATATTAAAAGAAATAATAGTACATCCATGAGAATCCTAGAATGAGTAATAGAACCTAATTTTCAGGTATCAGAGGATCACAATTTTTAGAAAGGTAACAACCTTGCTTAATTTCAAATTGATGTTTCTTGACATCTTCGTATCATAAGTATCCTTTTGTTTTACCATCTTTAAATCAAACTGTACAAATAGGAATTGTTTTCAATTTACTTTCTTATTTTTGTCTCGTTCTGCTATTAGAATCAACTGTTGCCTCTCATACCAGGAAGCCACATCTCCCCCACACCTGATGGAAGAAAACAAGTCCTCCAGTTAAAATTTGATCATCTTCCAAACATTTAGGAAAATGTTCTTTCAAGTGCAAAGTAATTTAATATGTACACATTTTTGTACAAGCGAGATTGGAATTCTCAGTGTTTCAAATGCAAATGAGCCATATGAAAATTAAGATGCCTTCTAGAATTGTTTTGCTCTAATCATTGCTGATTCCTTTCCCTGTGCTTTTTACATGCCAACTTTATCTTTTAGAACATTTTCTTTAAATGTTATAAAGCCTAAACCTGCACATATGGAGGAGACATTTTCGATTTTATCAGAGCAGCCCCTCCTAAGGCACTTTATATTGAGAATTTGTGGGCTTGTACTTTGACTTTTGAAAAAGATTTACATTTATCATATTGCTTCAGCTGACCACATTATATCTGAAAGTAAATAGCCTGCCTAGCTGCTGTTTAAGGGATGACATTATGTTCCTGCATTTTAATTCACTCTTATGGTAACCAGGTCTGCTGAGTAATGCTGATATTTTATTCGTGTTTTTATATTCATGTAGGAAGGGAACCTTGAAAGGTCATCTAGGTTTATCCCTTGATTCCAGGGCAGATCTACTTTCTGTCTCATGAGACATTGATGATTCTATTTTTAAAGCTAGCTAGAGAAAATTCCATACAAATTTCATACATTAGCAAATAGTGGACGAATGACAAGAAATCACCACCCTCATGACAGTAACACCTCAGATAACTGGCTGCCACTCTAATGCTGTCCTCTGCCACATCGTGGTTCCTTCTCCTTTCCTCCTCCTGGCTAAGTCATCTCAGTACCTGAACTAATCCTCCTGTGTGTTGTCTAAATAGTTCATTGCTAATACTCTTTTCCAACATTTGCATCCATAGCCTTCACGAACTTTTGCAGCCTTAAGCTAGTGTGTGCATAATATCGGGTTGGTTTGTAAACATGTATGAGGGCAGGAAGATTATCTTTCAGTTAATTTCATTTTGTGTCTCTTACAAAAAAAAAAAAAAACAAAGCAAAGCAAACACTTCAATAGGTGAGCTGAATTTACTTTGGGATATTTTCCCAAGTAAATTTGACATACATACATACATATATACACATATATTTACAAATATACCCTTATAATTATAAATTTTGAAGCATAGTAGATGCCTTTTAACCTGGACATTTAAAAGCGATGCAGAATCTTTGAAAGTACTTTTAGTTTGCTAACAAAGAACTCACGTAAAATAATAGCACGGAGCTGTCTATCAGGGTCTGGCAATGTTGTCAAATTTTGCAAATACACATTGTTCCAGAAATCTTTTGTGTCTGGCACCAAAAGTTAAGTATCTATTGTTATTAAGGAAACAGTAACACCTTATGTTCATCTCTAAAAGTCTATCTGGCACTTATAAACATGTAAACTTCCAGAGAATCTCATTCGGTTATTTGGAAGCATCCATTCAGTAAGCAATTATGGCATCTAAACAATAGTTTGCTCATGGGAAAGACTTTATAAGTGGGCTGATTAACTAACATTCTTAGTGCGAATATAAGCTGTTCGTGCCTTTTTATTTTCATCTTGTTATCAAGAATGTGCCTTTTCAGATTTGTATGTTTCTTGCATTTTTAATGGTATGATACCACAGGTGCAAGGAAAATGGGAAATGAAAGATAAGAAGCAACTTTGCTGAAAGATTTATTTTTAGCTTTCGCAGTGTTTTTTTTTCTTTTAAGCCTTCTTATTACTAAACTACTCATGATTCTCCAGCTCTTCTAAATATATATATATAAAATACACACACACACATATATATGTACACACACACACACACACATCATATGTGTGGGTGCAGAAAATAAGAAGACTCGCATGACGCCATTACCCATTTCGCTTGCAATTATGCTTCAAACAACGGAGTTTTGGGCAGGGGCTGGTAGGGTGACTGTCTTCCCTCGTTTTTGTTTACATTTAAAAATTAATTCAACCTAGCATTTCTGTTTTTCATTTTTTTTTCCTCAGACAAATCCATCACTTAGGTATCACTGGGGAGGGGAGAGGAGAAAGCATCTAATGCTTGGGAAAATATTCTGATGCCAACCCTATGACCACAAAGAAAAAATAATCTTCTGATGGCATCTGCCTATTTTCTTGACCCAGGCCACGTAGCGCTGCTGCTGCCTGTTACCACCCGAGGGCACAGATCTCGAGCTGCAGTTCTTTTCTGTTTCAAGTGCAGATCTCTCACTCTGTGCGGCACACATTTCTTTGCGCTTCTCAGCCCCATGGAACACAGCTGCACTTCAGCGTCTAGTACCCAAATTACAGAATGACTTTTGTAAATGTATCTTTAGCAAATAGTCTTGCCCCAGGCTCTTCACAGAAGCCCACTTGATTCCATAAGCACGCGTTTCCTTTGGACTCTCCATCACCCGGGTCTTGTCTCATTTATGTCAACTTTCAAGCCTTGGAATTTATTTCTGTATTAATAGTTCTCTGCTGATGCTCTTCAAACTCTGCAGCAGCATGGGGAGTGACGCCACCCGAATACTCCTCTGTGCTCCACCTCCTCATGACCTCTTCCCTCCGTGGCTTCCTCAAACTTTCCATACTCCTGTACCTGAGAGTCTCCAAACAGTTTTTTTGTTTGTTTGTTTTGCAGACTATTTTCATACCATTAAAAATATAGACTTTACCTGTTCTTGGAGCTCCCATAGAATAGGACATTTACTGAAACCTCTCTCAGCCTGGAAGCCTGTGTGCTTGGACACCGTCTTTGGTCTCTGTTCCAGTCCTGGTGACATTTGAATGTAATTGTTCCAACTAGCCCCAACCACAGAGCCCTTTTAGGACGTCACTTTTTGAAGATAATTTTAACTAGACTGAATCATTAAAAAGTTGTGTTCCAGAGGCTTTTGAATCCTTGGGATTAGGGAGATGGTTATAAAGGGTAAAAACTAAGCTCTCAGGGAATGAAGAGTTGAAACAAAGTAGATTTTCTTTCTTCTAAATTAGGTATACCACTGTTCTTCATTGCTTTTGCAGGCTTCCCAAATTACAAGACATAAGAAAATTAAAGTTATTTGAATCTTTTTTTAAATTCTGAAGATGTTTTATGCTCCATTAGCTTACTTGCCATAGAATTACGATTTTTCAAAAAGTTGGTACTTTCTTAGTCATTTGTCACTACCAATGATTTCTAATGCAGGTTTTGGAACAACTTAAGTGGCACAGAATTCTCAAAAATAAATAAATGAATGAATTTTTAAATAATTATACCATCAGAATGATCCTAAAATTTAGAAATGATCCTAAAATTCCACAAACAG